CCTCATTTCATTTGAAAAAGTTAATCATCATCAGCCTGACAAACTGCAGCTTCGAAATACACCAGTCACACAATCTTTTTAGCCATATAATATGTTAAAATTGTAACACTTGTGAATGCTGATAAATTATAACTGTGCTGTTCTGTGTTGAAAGGCTATGGCAACAAATCGACAAATTGCAATGCTGTCATGTAGATATTTAAAATGTCTAGCAGCTGTTTAGATATACTAAACCCAAAATTTTATTTACTTTTTCCAATTACAGTTTCTTACTCCATGTTTCAGTTGCATGTTCTCAAGAAACATTAATTTGTCAAAATTCAAAATCTAAATACGTTAAAAAAAAGGTCAAAAAAAGAAATATATAAATTAGGTTCAACTGTCAAAAGAATGAAACAGTTTACCTCTCTTGAAAAAAATCAGGGCTTAAAACATCTGAACAGCTTGCCGACTGCAAAATTGTCACAGTAATAACACAATTGTTTGAGTCAATTTTTCAAGTATTTAGTTATACAGTTTTTGGTATGGTGAAAACGTCTGTCAGTTGTTTCATATCCTCAATACAGCAGGGCTTTGTAAACTTTTTTTCTGAGCATGAAAAATCCAACGATTGAGATATTTTCCCATTTAATCGAATAAAAAGGAGGACTACTGTTGATGAACGTTGTTGGGTTGTTTTGTGGTTGTTGCTGTTTTGTTTTTTTTGGGGTGGGGGTATTTTTGTTTTCTCAAAATACCTAAAATTGACTAGGACAATTGAGTTATGACTGACCAAATGTAAGTGGGGTTGAAAGGCTACAGCAACAGTCAACAGGGTTTTGAGTACAGAGAAGAACATCAACACAATAACAGTAGTTCAATATTGAAAGATTGAAAGAAAGTATGACAGAAAAAGATTGACAGAAACAACTGAGAGGAAAAAAATAAGTAGGATCCACCAGTGGTACCCTCCAGCCACCCACCCAGCAAACATCATCACAGAAAAGCATTCAGCAACAGATTCAGAGAAATCAGAAATGTAAGAAGACATCACACATCTCAACAACTCATCTGTCAGCAACATTTTGAGACAAGCCATAAACAAAAAATGGACAAGCATTTCTATGAAACTTTACGTGACTAAAATATATGGATGCAATATAACAAAACATGTTGAAAAATAAGCTGATCTTTGCTGGTACATATAAATGTTGAGCCTTGGTAAAGAAAATAAATTTCTCCAGAAAAACTGTAACTGTGGATGATTGCTATACCCTTTGACACGATTTATAGCTGTAACTGTGGATGATTGCTATACCCTTTGACACGATTTATAGCTGTAACTGTGGATGATTGCTATACCCTTTGACACGATTTATAGGAGGCAGGAAAGGTCCACCCTGTCTATCAGGGCCAACCCGGGCAGAGAAGGAAACAACATCCCCGAAGAGCCCAAGACACTTGATTAAATAAACCTCCCCAAACAAGAGCAAAACTCATATCTCTGCATGCAACAGCAAACTGTTTACCCACTACACCATATATACGCCTCAATAGTCTCAGTCATGACAGAAATCTTATCATATTACAACTTATGGTCCACTGCAAAAATCTATCATATATAAAAACAATGAGATCAGGTATACCTTTAAATTCTCAATGGATACTAGAAGCGCAACCATTTTTAAACTATACTAGCCATCCATAAGAACATGGACTGGACTGGATATGGCAGAGTGAGCAACGGCAGCTTGTGACCGTGAAAGATGGAGGGTCATGACACGTCAACCTTTGAGTCAGAGATGACACCTACAGGTATCCAGGAACTGGCCATCCTCTCAAACGAAAGTGTACCAAGAACTCCTCTAAAAAAAATCGAGAATACAGACCAACCTGCTCTAAAGGCCATGTGTCCAAGACAATCACCTGTAAAACAACCACTTCTTACTCTCCCCCCCCCCCCTTCCTTCTCTCTCTCTCCCCCTCTTTAACTCTCTCTCTCTCTCTCCCTCTCTCTCTCTCTCTATCTCCCCCCCCCCCCCCCTCTTCCTTCTCTACATATCATAATACACTGCTCAAGACATCCACCTGTCTAAGACAACCACCTTTGGGAGGCAGGCTGCTTCATCACTTCCTGTCAAGGCTAACTCAGCTAGGCTGAGAGGGATACAATGTGCCAGAAGACAGACGGAGATACTCATCGGTGTGCGGCGGCCAAGCACGCCATTACTACCCCACAGGTACTGGTGTACACCACAGACGACTGCAGTACAAGGTGACCAAAAATAAGGAGATCCCCCCCTCCCCCCCCCCCCAACACCTTGACACACAGAATAGCAACAAAGGTGGGAGAAGTCAATAGGCAAAACCAATAGTAAAGAAACGAAGTAATTGAGGCAGTAGTGTGGGAGTGGAGATAATATAATGCTATAAGGCTGAGACAGTCAAGACAAAACAAAAGAAAAGAAAGAACAAAAATGAAAACCAACAAAAATCTATCACAGGGGAGATAATAAATAAAACGTCAGTTGCACACAGCAGCAGGCAAAATGGCAAGCAAACATGTCATGATATAACAAGTACGAAATTCATTCATACCAAAAATACAAAACTTACAAAACACTTTCTTCTGCAGAATGAGCTAATTGCACACAATGTGTATATATAAATATAAATATACTTACTTCCCAAAGGTATAAAGCAAAAATGTCACATCTGCAAAAGTTACATTGAGAAATACAGTCATGAGTGCCAGCAAAGCCACATTTTATATCCCTTCAAAGACATCAAGTCTCCCTCGGTGGCTATAAAATGCTGCTTCCAATTTTTCTCAAAAGTCACATCTTATTCCAAATTGAATCTCCTGCATTACCTCAAACAATTTTTTTTCTCATAAACATTCTTGGTGATAAGACAATCTGGCTTGGTACCAGCAATCTGTGAGAACAAGCAACAAATCAGAGTGACAAGGCATTTATTCCATTGTCTCACAAACTACAACAACAGGAGACTAGTTTGTCGGAGATAAAAACTGCAGAGGCTGAAAGAGACTGAAAGAGGCTGAAAGAGGCAGAAGCACTTGAGAAATCAGAAACTTTTGTACATTTTTTTTCCTTTTTCATTTTGTAAATAAATATATAGGTGTTCTATGCCACCCCTCAACACAGTATAGAGCATTTACAAGGCGGGCTTCAACCCTGTCTGTCAGGGCTAATCTCGGCTGAAAAGGATACAATAACCCCGCAGAGAGGCGGAGACGTTTGATAAAAATTCTCCCCAAGGAGGAATCAAACTCAGGTCTTCTGCATGCCATGGCAAAGCCCAAAATAACTGCACCACAGACACAATTTTTGTGTGCACTTATTCATATTTAAAGTACGACAGCTGTATGAAAAAAAAAAACCTTTAATTTAAATCCTCAAAACTAACACTAGGCAAGAAGACAAATCGACCGCTTAGTGTAAGATTGCAATTCACCATTTTGAAAAGTTATGTAGAGTGAGGGAGTCTTACACTGAACAGCCGAAATATAGGCAAGTAAATCTTGACAAAATGACAAAAGTTTGGGCGGGAAAAAAAAATCAGACCAAAAACTGCCAAAGTTTCCTAAGCAGCTTGGCAGTACATGAACAGAAGTAGAAAGAGCAGATGTCATCCAGAGCATCTACTGACCAACTACCAAAGCTGGAAAGACACAAAAAAAAAAATCTACAAAGACTAGAAATAACTTGAAAGCTCAAAGGGAAAAAGTAAAAGAAAAGGTAGAGAAAAAAGAAGTACGAAGTGAAAGAGAAGGATAAAAAAAGGACACGATGGAGAAAGGAGGGAGTGAAGATGGAGGAAGGAACGCGTGAAGGAGGAGGGGAAACAGCAAAGGGGAAAGGAGAGTGTGCAATATAAGCAGGTATAAGTCAAGAACATAAGGGCAAAAGTGTGGGTATGCATACAAGGTTACAGTGTTCACAAGGTATACAAAGGTAAAAATTTTACACAACTGTCAACACAATATAGATAATTTAGGGGGCAGGCTGCTTTGATGCTACTTATCAGGGCCAGCCCGTGCTGAGCGAGATAAAGTATCCCAGCAGGCAGACAGAGATATTCAATAAAATAACTTCTCCACACAGGACTTGAACTCATGTCTTCTGAGCGTGGCTGCAAAGAGCCTAACCTCTACACCACAGACGACAGTGTTCATGTAGTGTGAAAATATTCTCGTCTGCTTAAACTTTAAGTAAATGTAAGTCTACAGCCATTGTCATTGCAGCTGTTTTACATTCCTAATGACACAATTTAGATCATTTAGGAGACCGGATGCTTTTACGCTACCTGTCAGGGCCAACCTAGTCTGAAAGGGATAACACATCTCAGCAGATACATGGAGATATTCGATTAAAACCCCCCCCCCAAAAAAAACCCCATCCCCCAAAGAGGAACTGAATTCATGTGTCTTGCATGTGACAGCCAAGAGCCTAACGGCTCCACCGCAGATGCCAGTACAAATACACAGCAACATGACAAAATGAGACACACACACACGTCATATTATAACAATATCGAACAATGGGTATCATCAAGCAACAGATCTGTTCAAGCCTTTCAAGTAGGTGAACACAGTATCAGCACAGCTACTTTGGTTCCAAAGTTTTATGGTCAATTCAAGTTGAGGTGTCAGAACCTCACAGCTTGGAGAAAACTGGGGTTTTTATCCTATATGTCTGGAAACAGCTGAGAGCATCATCAAGCAACATTCATTTTGTCACCTTGCTACACAAAGTATCTGTTTAGAAAAATGACTAGTTCCCTAGAGAATAAAAATAGAACAGAGGGTCTTTTTAAAGTAAAACCTATTGCACCAAGCATTAGCACTGACCTTGTAAAATCTTGCTTCCACATAACAACAGTTATTTTTTTCCAACCCACACATTTGTTTTTCCAGTAAGTCGAACAAGCAAAAATAAATGAGAGAAAAAAAAATATGTAGAAAAAATAATAAACCCAGCTTCAAAAGCACCATCATATTTTTTTTCAACATTGTCAAAAAATTACAAAAACGGAGCAAAAATTTAACAAATTCAATAAAAATAAATAACAAAGACAAAAAAAAAATTGGTCATGACCTCCACAAACCGAATCTAAAACGTAAAAGTAATGTACAACTCCCAAGGGTGCCATTTCCCATTCCAGTAAGATGTAACTCTAATTCCCACTGTGAATCCCAGTGTTGCACACTAGGTCAAACAGTTTGAAATGAAGGAGGGGAGGGGGGCTACACTTTACTTTTACTTTTACAATCCAACTTACAATTTAATGCAATTTTATGAGAAGAAAAATAAAGTTCTTAATTTTGCATCTTGTGACCATGGAGAAAAAATCAGAACATACCCATGAGAGGTCTCCACCCCCTCAACCTCCTCCCACCTCACCACGCCATCCCCCCTCCCCTCTCCTCTGACCGTACCTTCACTCAGAGAACCTTTCAAATATCGCTGAGCTTGACTTTTCACACAAACATATATAATGTCAAACAAAAAGCATTCGACCAGCCAATAAGTAAAAATAAAATTCCATACTTTAAATAGCAGATTTGTGAAGACTAGGAGGAGCGAGACGTATCTAGACACAAGATACAGAAAAAAATCTTATTGTTTTAAGCACAAGCAAAAAAGAAAAATAACAAAAAAAACCCCCACAAAAACAACAGACTAATAGTATAGCATCAAAGGTGCACTGCGTGTAAAAAGCAACATGGTTAGACAAAAAATGCGAACATTACGGACAGATGACTTTTTCAAACCGGTTTGCCCTGTAAGCGGTTCGAACCTGTTCCCTTAAGTACGAGATGAAGCCGTCCTTCTTCAGATCTACCGTGATGACCTGATGAGGAAGAAATGAAATGAGGCTTAGAGTAAGAAAAGAAAAGCACATTTACATGATAAAAGTCATATATAGAATACAGGAAAAAGCAACAGGAAAAAATCAGACGGAAGAAAAGAAGTAGGATCTATCTGTGGCACCCTCCAACTATCCACCGAAATTTGAAGCAAAGCAAGAGTAAGAAAAAAACCCCGAAACAAAGCCAGGAAAGAACAATAGCAATGAAGGACTAATCAACCGTCTACAAGGGACACTTGAGAGAAAGAGAGAAAGACACAAAACAAAACCCCGTAAAGTTTGGTTTTAGTGAGAGTTTAACAGCACTAGCAACACAAACAGGTGATATAAAAGACAAAGATTAGAGGTGTTGCTAGAGAGTAACACACAAGAAAAAAAAGGAGAAGAGGTAAGAAGAATGATAGAATCAGATATTTCTGTGTGTGCCCGGTGAAAGGTACCATATGACACATTGTGAAGAATGGCCTTTTATTGCTCTTTCTCGTACAAAAACCATTTCTGAGCAACTTGCTTTTTAAATTTTTAAAAAAGCTTGTGTGTTTTGTGAGATCTAGTTCTTAACATTCTCAGCTAATGGGAAGAAACAAAGTTTTGAGAAAAGAGGCTTTGAAGTTTTCTAAACGAATATCAATCCATCTGCCAGCAATGTTGTTTGTCTCCGAAATCCTTGCCAACACAGTCAATACTCAGAGTGCAACATTAGAAGGCAGTTTAAGACAATCGAACTGTTTAAAGTCTCATTCATATGCTTTTAAAATAAATTTAGTCAAATTGAACCTGAGATTTTGCAAAATGACTTTGATTTGCTCCTGAAGTGTCGTCGTTGGGTACATTACATGAGTTGCCTCCCCTCCTTTACTGTGTCAATGTATTCGTGCACATGACACACCACAAGAAAGTACACAAAGTGACTGAAATTTTGATATGTGACGTGAAGGGGTTGATTTTTACGAATGAGCCGTAAAAATCATTGTCAATGACAACGCTAGAAATTTCAAAGAGCGGCTTTGTGGCTATGCTTTCCTCATGTAGTGGAACAGGGTACAAATGCCCAAAACCTGCCACCTGTGACTGTTTGATACACTTATGGGCAATTCACAGATCACAAATGCCCAAAACCTGCCACCTGTGACTGTCTGATACACTTATGGGCAATTCACAGATCGAGATAGGTCACAAGCTGACCTAAACTTTGGTATGCAATGAGATGGGGTTTGTTTTAATAAATGAGTTGAAGAAACCCTCCGAAATGTAGGCTTTGACAGCAAATGTTCTCACACAATATTTGTTATTATGTTAGATGACTTGTGTCAAAAAACATCTTCACAATTATATTTTCGTTATTAAAAAAAAAGCAATATCAGTACATAAGCAGCTAGAGAATAATTTTTTATGGAATTCAATTTTAATTTTACAAATCTATATTTAATCTTAACTGCCCCTGTAACTCAGTTCCAGCAAGTGCGGCTTTCAGTACCTTTCTCCAGGCATGCACACATTTCATAGGAAAAAGGAAGCAAATGTTACAGAACACCCACAAACCCCATACCGAAGCAAAAAATTACCAATCAATTGTGTTATGATCGTGACGGTCTGGTGTTGTAACTCGTTCTTCTCCTACTTTGAACAAAACCTACTGGCTCTCCTACTGTAACTCTTTTCTGAGCAACCAGGCAGGAAAAAGAAGGAGAAACTACTTGTTTCTCCTGTGAAATTTCTCCACCTGTACTGTCATAAAAATACATCACAACCATAACATTAAAGCCCCATTTTGATTTATAGAGAGGAACATGTCAAATCCAACATCAGCAGCCAGAATTTATTTTTGTATCTATTTAGAGCGGAAGAATTCAAAGATAACAAAGCGCTCATATGACCGTATGCAGTTGCGAGCGCTGTAAAACCCTATACTAAAATAAAAATAAAATAAAACATAACAAGTAGTAAAGTGCACAGGAAGTTGAACGAATGGGTGGCCATTGTCGGCAAAGAATGTGAATTGGAACTACTTAATCCACCAAACTGACCCACCCCTCCTCGTGTGTGACAGCAGACAACACACTAGCATCAAGACATAACTGCCCCCCCGCCCCCCCCTCCCCAACTTGAGATGAATAGATGAGACGAGAATCTGCAACCCATCAAGACTCGTATCTTCCACACCCCCCCCCCCCCCCTCAAATGACAACAGACCCCCCCCCCCCTTCCCCCATGATGACAGACAACCCCCTCTCCACCCCCCTCCCCTCCCTGCCATGACAACAGACAACCCCCTGACCCATTAAAACTGACCTGTCCCCCTCGTGTGATAGCCAGAATCCCCTGTGTGGTTGTGTTGAGGGCGGAGGCAAAGATGACGTCGATGGCTACACGTGTACAGCACAGACACATGGCGGTCTCCATGTCACACATGTACAGGTAGCCGTATTTGGTCACCACAAACAGGAGCCCGTACTCCACAGAGATCTGGGGAATCACACAGACCATCAAACTTCACCAAAAAACTGGAACTGTAAATCACCGACCAGCTGTTCAACTCTTCTAAGCCCACAATGAAAAATTTATCAGGGGAGTAAAAACTGTTTCATTCTCGTTATAATTGTACCTGCATATGTATTGTTTCTTACTTTTTGAAACATTTAGAATTTAAATTTCAACAAAGTATTTCTCAAGCTCATCAATCAATACCACAGATTAAGAAACTGCCATAAAATTATTTTTTTTTTTAAAATTTGAGCATAGTACATCTAAATAGTTGGCCAACGAAATGTTTTATCCATCACTACATTATTTTGACAATTAAGGGGCAGGCTGTACTTGTTTTCTATGCAGGTGGCGAATCCAACAAGAGAAAAAGACAAGTTGTCACTTGCTCAGCATTATAATAACATTGTAAATGTTATAGAACTTGAACCGGGGTCATTAGCACCACAGTCCTGCATGATCCTAACTGATCTCCTCTCCACAGACAAAACACTTAGTAGTAGAGGCAACAGTCCTCTTTCAGTCCTTCTTCTATATCCCCTTTTTCTAAAAAGTAGGCCTCAGCTCCTGAACCTTTTAAGCCCGGCCTGCGAGTCTAAGCAGTAATTAATGAGGGATGTGGTCTTCAGGGAACCGATAACTAAAAAAAAAATATATATATATATTTGTCATGATAATCAAAATCCATATTTTATCAGCCGGCCCAGTTGGAAGCAATAGATCTTATATTTAATCGTATGAAATGCCCTAGAGTGACAAATGTTATTGTGTGAGTTCTAGTCGCACTTTTGAGAGCTTAAGTATTTTAACTGTTTCGTTCAATTTTCTCCTGCTTTGGCCTGCAAGATGATAAGAATTGCTTAATCCTGCTCGCCCATGCCTGGTCTAGATCTCCTTTTTCGTCAAAGGCCTATGTGTGTATAGAAGGCTGTAAAACTTTCACATAAACAAATCAAAACAGTCAGTACAAGTATAATGCTCAAAGCTGTTACCTGTAGCGAGATGGGAAAGTCATAGCGCTCCAAATCATCCAAGAAGTGCAGATGGTCGTAGCAGTTACGGGGGGCAAAGTTTCCAGTTTTGTAGGGGCCCAGCTCTATCACATGTACCTGGACATGAGATTGAGATTGAGTTGAGAGACATTTACATCATCACAAAAATGGTCATTTAGAGCTAGGGAAAAGCATAACAGACAGATAGAAACAATATATAGAAAAAGAACAGAGGTTGAACCAACCAGAGGCACCTTCATAACATCTGCCTAGACATGATTAATATAAAATAATGAAAGTTCGTGGACGTAATTTTAACCCACGGACCAGAGCGTTTAGGTGTACAGGTCCTGCTGTGTGTGCGTAGGGGGAGGGGAGAGAGACCTTATCAACCAATCTGCACTCGTCTCTTTTAATAATACCCAGTGCACATCTAAGAAAGGTTTGTCAAATCTCCATATGATATGGTTTGGTACAGTGGAGGCAGTCACAATTTCCTTCGGGCAAAAAGTTACCATTTTGGCACAATTTGATCAAACCCTCTAACTCCAAAATCAAATAAGTTTGATTTTCTCTGTCACAATTATTTCAAGGTTTAATGAAAAACAACCAATCATAAGACTAATAGGTCAAATCTTTTATTTATCCTTGGATTCATCAGAATGTGATAGACCCTACTAAACTTGCCTGCCTGATGGGACTTCAGAGTCAAATTTCATTGAGCAAAGCAAAGACCAATTCATACAGTAAGCACTAGCCAACATTTCATTACCCGACCCGACCTGAACCAACCTGATTATGCATTTGATCAATGTGCATCTATTCTAACATCTCTAAAATAACCAATGACTGGCATTGCCACGATCTGTCTTGGTAACGTTTCTAAACCGACCAATCACAAACCTTGCTGTGATCTACTCTGGTAAAGTTTCTAAAACTGACCAATAAAAAACCTTCCCTTGATCTATTATGGTAAAGTTTCTGAACCAACCAATGACTGACCTCGTCTTACACAATTATGAAAATGTTTGTCAAAACTGGCTAATCAGAAATATTTCCATTATCTATTAACACTTTTCCACCACATGCCTATATAGTAAAAAAGCCCTGGCTCCACACACCATTTGAGCTAATCTGAAGGTGAAAGTAGAGGGTTCAGAGAAATGGGAACTGCTCTCTTGTAAATGCATGGATCATTACCAAACTTGAGGGACAGTTGTATGAGTGAATAAGGGTTTTATTCGTGTGAAGAAAAAAAAAAAAATCGCTTGATCACGGCAGCCATTTTGAATAAATTATGCAAAATTTAACTAAAATATAACGAAAAAACCAAATTTCCACCTTCCTGATAAGTGATTTTACCCTAAATCTAACAGCTAATATTCCAGAAAGATGATTTGACCATTTCTACATAATAAAAATCACAACAGGTGGTCGCTGGGTGCATTTAGAGGCATTGTAGAGTCAAAATAAACATGTACCCTGTTAGGGGTCAGAAGAGGTCAGCACGAAGTAAAAGTATAGGGTTCAGAGAAATGGACACTGCTCTATTATAAACTCATGGATCATTACCAAACTTGGAGGACAGTTGTATGAGTGAATAAGGTTTTTAGTTGTGCGAGAAAAAAAAATCAATTCGTTTGATCCTGGCGGCCATTTTGAATAAATTATGCAAAATTTATCTGAAATGTAACCAAAAAAACAACAAATTTCCACCTTCCTGATAAGAGATTTCACCCTAAATCTTACAGCGAATGTTCCAGAATAATGATTTGACCATTTCTACATAATAAAAATCACAACAGGTGGTCGCTGGGTGCATTTAGAGGCATTGTAGAGTCAAAATAAACATGTACCCTGTTAGGGGTCAGAAGAGGTCAGCACGAAGCAAAAGTATAGGGTTCAGAGAAATGGACACTGCTCTATTATAAACTCATGGATCATTACCAAACTTGGAGGACAGTTGTATGAGTGAATGAGGGTTTTGCTCAAGTGAAAAAAAATCAAATTGCATGATCACGGCAGACAATTTGCATAAATTATGCAATATAATTTACATGAGATATATAAAACCTGCCACTAATTTCCCCTTCCTAAAGCAAATGCCCCAGAAGGATAATATGTACAAAGTCAATTTTGAGTGTGCTTGTGGGTGTGTGTGTGGGTGTGTGTGTGTGTGCGTGTGCGCGCGTGCGTGTCTATGAATATGTAGGTCTCTTGAGAAACATGAAAAAAAAATGTGACGATAGCAAACAGAAGTAGAAAGAAATACATGGAATTGTAAGCCTACTCACTGTGAAAATATATAATCCAGTTTTGCTTGCTCTAATAGGGAGTTTGGTAGCATTTAGTCCATGAGCTGTTGCCGTGCCTGTTTGACGTCAACAGCGGTGTGCCAGATGCGGAAACAGTCACGGTCAACACACAAAGCAGTGTTGCACTGGGGGCAGTGGAAGCGCGTCTGGGCCCTTTTCTTGATGGTCGCACAGACCTTGCATACAGGGCGATGTTTAGGATCCAAGTATTTGGCAGGGAAGTGCCCGAACTGTGCAGCAGAGAGCCGGTCAACAGTTGGGTTCGGCTGCGGCCGGCATTTTGATTTGCGCACAGCCATGTGGGGCTTGATAAGCGCATCCACTACAGCAGACCTGAAGTCCTTCACGTTGTCCTTGCCACCACTGCGTTTGTACAAAATGTGGGCATTCACAAGGCAGGCATCTTTCACATAGTGGTAGAGCGCCAGATACCATTTGTAGCTGCGGTGGGGATATGAATAGTTTTTGTGCAGCTGATCGAAATGATTGACGCCGCCCATGTACGCATTGTATGTCTCAGCAATTACTGGCTTTTCGACCCGCTGAAACCCGCCGTCATCCTTTGCAGAGCGCACCAACTTGTCCATAGTGTTATTCGTGTGGACTGTGCTAAGAAGGTGCACACGCTTTGTGTCGTGCCAAGCCGTGGCAACCATGTCACCAGACCTAGAAAACACTGGCTCGTCGCCTTTTTTCAGGGGAAGGTTGGTGTGTTTTAGGGCATGAGGGAACCCCTTTCTGCTCTCCACAACAGTGCCCACTGCTCCAGTCTGCTTTTCCCTCAGGTCTGCAAAGAGTGCTGGAGAGGTGTAGAAGTTATCACAGAACAATATGTGACTCTTCCCAGTGTACCCATCCATCAGGGTCTCCACAAGATGATGGGTGAAAGGCTTACCCGCTGGTACTGGAAAGTAGTCCTTCCCAGTGTAAACAATAAATTTCAGACAATAAAACGACACAGAGTCGCACAAACTAAAACACTTGAATCCGCGTTTCGTCGGTTTGTCTGGCATATACTGTCGAAAGTGACATCTGCCTTTGAAGCGAGCCATGCTCTCGTCTACGCTGAGCTGCTGATGCGGATAATACACGGCACTGAAGGAGGGGATGATGAGGTCTAGGAATTCCTGGACTTTTTGCAAAGGCTGGTAGCCATCCTGTCTACGAGGAACATGCTGTGTGATATCACTGAAGAAAAAGAAAGGAAATCCAACAAATCAACAACAACCAACCAATTACCAATTTGTGAAATTTGTGGTGGGATGCGAATCGTGAACAAGATTTTTTTTTCTTTTGATTGTTATGACCGCACTGAATAATGATAAAAATTTCAATACATTCAGTGTGATTAGTATTGGCTAGATCTAGATCTATAATGTAATGCTATGAAAAAATAAAGAAGATTTCAACAACGCCTCGTCTTTGTTTTTCTTTGACAACTGGACATGACAGACTGATATCCAAACAAAATTTTCCGTCAGCAGATTTATGATCATGATGAAGAGGCAAAGCTTTGAGGATTTAGAATCTAGATCTAGATCTAGATCTAGATCTACTCTAAATTAGGAGTGAAACTGAAATATCAAAATGTAAGGTAGATCTAGACTTACCTGAGATGAAAGAATGCAGACAGGATCTTGAAGCGATGCTTGGACATGATGTGCCGGAAGTGAATATCAACCAGCCAGAAAGAGCTCCAATAGTCGTCAAGACTAGGCTTCGGGTTGAGACCCATAGCGATCTGAAGGCCGATGAAAGCTTGCATCTCTTCCTTGTTGGTATTCGACCACCTTTTCTTGTAGTAATTTGTTTCTGGCAGGGCATGTAGGCACCGGGCTGCATAGTCATTAGTCTGTTTTACTATCAGGTCGATCACAGCTGGCTTGAAAACAAGACTAAAGAAGTCGATACATCTAAAGTCTGTGGTGTCAACCAAAACACCTGGGCGCTGCTGAAATGGAGGGAGCCAGTCATTACTGTATGGGTCCATCCCATCATACAGATTCCAGTGAAACTCTGGGTCTTGAGTAGTTGTTGTAGACCTGGGAGTGCGAGTAGGTCTAGGCCTGGCGGGCGGTGGAGGTGGCTGTGCCTGGGAAAGCTCACTGTCACTGTCACTGTCAGAAGACGAAGATTCCCGAAAACGCGTCGGTCTAGTTCTAGCTCTTTTCGATCTTGATCGACAAGTTGGAAGCGTAGTTGATTCACCATCATTCTCCTCATCTAAATGCCACGAAATATCGCTTGCATTATCAGGGGCAGACTGTCCCGAGTCGCTGTCATGGTGAAAGAAACTGCTGTTGGTAGGCGCGCTCGAATCACTCATTTTCAACGTCTTTTCGGCTCGAAATTCGCAACGAAAATGACCAAACAGACGCTATCTTTCCCTCCTTTTCGTTCGTAAACCAGTCGGAAGTAAACATAATTGAAAGCAAGTGCGCATGTCACGAAAGGGAAGTCATTCTAATAATGTGTTTGTAGAGCTCTAAGAGCCATCCCGTTGTTAAGGTACACAACGCCGATCGGCGAGATGAGACGGGAACGCGAGTACTTCCGCATCGCCGTACGGCGACGAGAGACGGCAAAGTGTTAAGGAAATGTATCTAAGCAGACCGAAGACAAACCTTGCTGTGATCTATTTTGGTAATGTTTCTAAAACCAGCCAATGACAAACCTTGCCGTGATCCTGAGCCTCCCTTGAGCTGACACAGAAGACAGTGGAGGGGTAGGGGTTGCCGGGGAAGTGGTAGCTGGAGAAACAGACAGCGTGGGCGCTGATACATTGTGTGATCTCTTCATCTACGTAGTACAGCTGGGTCACTCCGGAGATACGTTCATCCTAGGGGGGTGAGAGGGAAGAGAGAGAGACATCACATGACATACTCAGTACAGTTGGATAACTTTTAAAAAAGCACTAATATCCTGATGCGGGGTGGGGGTGGGGGAAGACAGAAAAAAATACAGAAATATATATATATATATATATATATATATATATATATATATATATATATATATATATATATATATATATATAAATATATATAGAGAGAGAGAGAGACAGAGAGAGAGAGAGAGAGAGAGAGAGAGAGAGAGAGAGAGAGAGAGAGAGAGAGAATGAGAAAGACAGACAGACAGATACAGAGAGAGAGAGAGAGAGACACAGAGAGAGAGAGAGAGAGAGAGAGAGAGAGAGAGAGAGAGAGAGAGAGAGAGAGAGAGAGACAGACAGAAAGAGAGAGAGAAAAGAATCAAAGCTTGATCCCCTCAATTATATAGCAGAGCATAGTCATTCCAGTCATGTGCGCTCATCATAACCCGGCTAACCTCAGAGATGGAAGATGGGGCAGAAGATAAACGAAATTATATGACGCAGAGCTCATAGGACGACTATTCAGTTAATTCTTTCAGGCCTGGTCCCCAGAACTTTCAGGGCCTGAGCACCATGTGTCAAATTTTTAAGTAGTAAAGGACAGTTGAGTCGCTTGTAAGATAGGATCATCCTGGCTAAGGGGGAGAGGAGAGAGAAATAAAATCAAATGAGACTGGGAATCAATAAAACTGGTTTTTATTAAGGGAGTGGAACAAAATTCGAACAAAGAATAATCATTACAAAATCTTTACCATCTGAAACTAAGAGAATTCCAGAACATTGAGAAGGATCTTACCTCTGGAGTAAGTCCTGTGAGAGCTAGCCATTTCAGACTGGGATCAGCTTTGTAACTGACAATCTCTGTGAAGGCGAGTCGATTGTGACGTAAAAACACCTGTTCTGTCGGCGCTGTTTCTGGAAAAAAGAGAAAGTAAAATTGATAAAACAAATAGCTGCCTTTAACAAGTTAAATTTGTTTTAGAAAGAGTTTTACAATACTTGCAACATAAATAGGTCATATAATTGCCAAAGATTAGAGGCATTCTTGAAAGTAAAGTACAAAGAAAAGAAGGAGGACAGATAAGGACGATAGATGTTTTGAAAGAAAGAAGGAGTAAACCACACAAGAGCACCCACCTTTAAGAAGTGACTACATGAGAAAGCCAGTGAGTGTTTGAAAGGGGAAGTGTAAAATAAAACATCTGAGAATACAAGCAAATGATGTGCAGTGAAAAAGTAGAATATCTGATAATACGTAATTTGTTTAAGTCACAGGCACATTTTGCTTTACTAGAAGTCTAAGAGGTCAAGTCACAAACTGCATGCCTGCCTAGTAAGTCAAGAACCACATTCAAACGCTAAATAAATTAATAGAGTTGTTTCTCAGTCAGTTATTATGAGCCACATGCTTCCGAAAAATCATCTTTCAATTAAACCCTAAACACAAGAAGCCAAAGCTCAGTCATTTTATAAATTCTGCTCATAAAGAACCAGAACTATATTTCTCATGATAACATTAGTAACTCTGAAAGTTATCAGATCACACACCAACCTTTAAATGTTACATGGGGGAATGCTTTTCAGCGACAAGTACCACAATTTGATAATTCTAAACAAGACACACAGACATACTAACAAAATCATAACCAACCTGACATGGACATACAGACACACTGACAAAATCAAACTGACAACCTGACACAGCCATAATGACAAAGTCACACAAACAACCTGACACAGACATACACAATACAGACACACTTTCAATATATTCCAAACAGGAGATATAGACACACTGACAAAGTTGTTCATACAACCTGATACAGACATAAAGACACACTTTAAACACATTCCAAACAGGAAATACAGACACACTGACAAAATTCTCTATACAACCTGACACAGGCATACAGACACACGAACAAAGTTATTTACACAACCTGATAGTCATACAGACACACTGACAAAGTTGTTATACAACCTGACACAGACACAGAGCATACTTTCAATACATTCTAAACAAGACAAGTAGACACACTAAAACAGTCATTGAGACAACCTGACACAGATATACAGACGTACACACACACTGACCGAAAACTATGCAACAAGACAAAAGCAAACCCAGACCTTTGTGTATACTCCAGTGATACACAGCACTGTCTGTAACCATGGCGATGACGTCGGTGGTCAGCCACGTCCAGAAGATGACCAACTCGTGGAACTTGATCTTACTGATCAGCTCTTTGGTGTCCAGATTGAACACCTCAAACCTCTGGCCCGCTGAGGGAGAAAAGAAACCAATATTGTCGTATTTTTAAAATCTAGGTGTTTTTACGCCCCCATCAACACAAAGATCATTTACAATGCCGGCTCTGACACCGGCTGACAAAATACAACATCCGAACAGAAAGACTGAGATACTCGATAAAAATTCTCCCCACTCTAGAATCAAACTCGGGTCTCCTGCGTGCGGCGGTGAAGCACCCATTCGTTACACCATATACGCCGGTAAGAAACAGTCTGTCAAGACAAAGATTCTCTGGCCTGCAGAGAAATAGATGACATTGTCTGTCAATGTAGAAGGATCTTGTTTCATATACTGAAAATCAAAATATTGAGACATTTACTCTTTAGTTAAAGTCATGAGGTTGATTTTTTTTTCCAGTTTTCTTGAAACAACAAAGACTGACAAGCAGTTGCATAATAATCATGATGACATGCCGAAGAAGTGCTAAGAAGAACCTGGCCTATCATAGGAACGGGAAACTATCAGAGCCGCGCATTTCCAAGAAAAAAACTATCCAAGCTGCAAACTAGCAGAGTTACGCACTTTTTGACGATATCGATACAATTAGATTGCCGATTTAATCCAACGGTTACAAACCCTTTGACAATAAAATTACTCTGTACAGCCTCCATCCAAAAACATTCGTCTTTCCGAATATGTTAAAAAAAAGCAACTTCGTGACCATTTTTGTAACCCTGAAACTAAAAAACACAGACCAGCCAGAAAAGCACTCCCAAGAAAGAAGGGAGAATGTGTAACAAGCAAATGTACACAGACGGACAAGTGTCACAACTTAAATTTTTATCATGAATGAGCAATAAAATGCTGCCCCAACACTTTAAAGATTGCCCTTGTCCTGTAGATATGTTTTTATACCTGAAAAGCCTATTCATTCAATACAAAATCTGATTGATATCTGGTCCAAAACCTAGTAAGAAGATGATATTTAAATTGTTGGATGGTACAGGTTTTGGTAATCAGTGATCTAATTGTATCGATATCATCACAAAGTGTACGGCTCTGATAGTGCGTGGCTTTGATAGTTTTTTCTCCAAAGTCGCGGCTCAGATGTTCTCCAATAGGAGCCTTCTAAACAAAGCGGCAAAGTGATTACAGCAGAGATGACACTCTGCAACTCAAGACTTACCATTGTACAACTTTTTTACCAGCTCACAGATGCAACTAAGATCCTTTAACTTTAAGGAGGCTGGCTGCTTCCACTTTGCCTGTCAGTGTTAATTTGAACAGTGAGAGATACTCTGTACATCCGAGCAGAAACATGCAGATACTCCGCACAGTACATTCTTCACGCGGAAATCAAATTCACATCTTTCGCAAACAGGGGAAAGAGCCTCACTATTACACCCATCTGCAGCTTATAATTTCTCTCCCCTTCCCCAGCTTTTACTCTCATATTTTTAGTGTGTCAGACAAAAAGCTTAATCACAACAACCACTGAGCTGGTCAGCAGCTTCTATCAATCCCACTCCACCCAACACACCCTTTCTCTAGAGATGTCTGTCTCCTGTTTTTGATTTCTCTCCTTACCTTTCAATGCAATAAGAGGTTGCGACTGGTTCATCAAGACAGAGTCAGCACTGGTGGATCCCGCATACGAAATTGTTCCTTCTATGGGACTCAGTACAGTCACCTAAGGGGGGAAAATCCAGCAAAAAAGTCAATTTGAGACCCCATTCATAATTAATTTGACAATAAAAAATATTCACAGAACAGAAAAAAAGACTATTAGCACCAAAAACATATCTAAGATAACAATCACAAACCCTGTAAGTGTGAAATTAGGTCAAATTATATTTTCGTTGAAAAAGATTACTTGAAAACCCTTTTACACCACGTCTTGATATAGTTTATAGTTGACCGTGAAAGTAATAAACAAAAATAATAATAATTATGAAAATTGTGGATAGCCCCATTTTCTGGCACACATGACACTCACTCATTTTCCTTGAAGTAGTAATATATCATAATTTCTAAATTTACACAGTTTGCAACAGTTATGATCAGTATAACGATAAAGGCAAGTCTCACCACAGCTCTTTTAGCTGATAGGTCTGTGCGATTGTCATGCCGTACGGCGATCCACTTGTCAGAGGTCATGGTCACCCTAGACCAAGTGACTTGAGTGTTTGGGATACCGATATGAGCCAGCTGAAAACATAAAGGTGAAAGGAAAATATTACAGCTGACTTTGTCTTTCTGTGAGGTTCAAAAAGGTATTACAAGATAACATTTTAACAGTAAGTGCTTTATATGCCTACCTTAACACGTTTAGGAGACCAGCTATTGTAAGGAGAGGAATATGATACCCTAGCAAACAGACAGATCAAGATACTTGATTGAATACTTCCCCACTCAGGAATAGAGCTCATGTCTTCTGTATGCCATAGCAAAGCACATTACTGCTACACCACAGATTCACTTCCGTACTACTAGACACATAATAAGTCATTTCAGTTTTTTAAAAGTAAGAATTATATCAGATCCCCAGTCTTGATGCCATGCTGGGCTGAGAGAAGTTTCTAGAGTAGACCCAAAAAACTTCGCCCCTCCCTCAGATGTGAACCTCAATCTTCCATGAGTTTGAAACCAGCAATGAGCAATGTCAAACACAACAAAATGCAATAGTAAAAATACCACTGATACTTAAGTTCCCGTGCATCAACTGGTAGGATATATTTATACTCCAAACTCAAAGGCCAGTGTTAGGTGTTCACTGTCCGAGCTTACATTTGGGTTTGTAAGGTATTAAACACAAAGATATTGGTCAAACACATGAGAGTTCAGAATTTTTTCTCTTGCTAGTCGACATAAAAGTTTTTCATGTAACTAAGAAAAAGTCAACGAGTATCGAGAGCCCTTGACCCTGATACTTCATTTTTATTTCCCCATTGATAGACCTAACAGTTTTCAAGTAAAGGACAGCCCCCTCCCCTCCCCCCCCCCCCCAACCCCCTTATCAATGGTGAGGAGTGGTTCTCTTCCCCACAACACCCCTCACTCCTCGCCATCTCCCCTCAACATTGCCTACCTGAACCACTTGGATGTGGTTCCCACTGCAACCACACATGGAACTTCCAAACTCACCTGAACCAGTTCATTGATAGTGATGGGTGGTCCTCTCCCTCCCACCTCCCCTGACACGGTATGGCTGGGACTAGGACTGGGGCTAGCCCGCGTCAGCTCAGGTAAACTCGGCTCCATCCCAGTCCACGCCTCACCTCACCGCCACAGATCAACACAGCGTGCTGCGACAGTCACATGGACACATTCTGTCAGGAAGTAGAGGTTCTCACACTACCTGAAAATAGCAGAAAGTATTCTTATATTTATGCTATGCTGCTATGGGTGCAGTGGCCCTGACAACAAAACAATGTAATACATTGCGTTGTGATTGTGATAGATATTAGCGACAAAACAATTTAACAAGATTTTTAGAGTAAAAGTAAAAGACAACTTGAAGCACTTAAAACTGAGACAAGAAGACATGCAAGAGATTTGAGATACTGTTTATATACCTTATTAAATTTGTGTCATTTATTGATTTATGTTTAGAACTTTGAGGTGGGAGGAAGAGATTTTGAAATTGCTTGTCTTTTGGTTTTCAAAATCAGCCTTGTTCTCTCTTCTCTGCTATCTCTTTGTTCAAATATGAGATCATCAGGTCTGAAATTTCAGTTCAAGCAAACCACAAATCTATCATAAAATGAAAACATCAAGGGGTGCAGATCTAGAAAAAATCGTTTGCTGCACAGTTTACTGAGCAACCACTGTAGTGTTTAAGTTTGTATGAAAATCACTGTTTTAACAAAAGAAAACTTAAGATGCCTTTCAACTTCAAGACAAAAAATAAAGCATCATGTCAAAGAGAAAACAAAGGCAACGGGCCACAGTTACAGAGTTACATCTGGAGGAGGATCACAAATTTATCATTCTAGATCATGATGGAGTGTAGAAAAAATCGTTCGCTGTACAGCCACTGCAGCGTTTAAGTTTAAATGGAAAATCACTGAGCTTTAAACAGAAAACTTAGGATGCCTTTTAACTTCAAGAGAAAATAAAAAATCTAGCATTATTTCTTAAAAAGAGAAAACAAAGGCAAAGGGCCACAATTAGAGAGGGACATCTGATGGAGGGTCAGTGGTTTCATGACCTTTTCAATATTTATACATCAACATCGAAAGATTAGCCTAGTTCAATGAGTTTAAAATAATGTTTCGTTCATTTGTGACTCTCAGCTCATAGGGCTGAAATATATTCACTCTTTTAGGAAGGACTTCCGTAACGAGCGACCACCCCAACAAACACAATAATGACATTAAAGAAGAGACATAGATTTCTAGATCGAACCCTAACCCTGGGGGCTCTTGTGGCCTAGAGGTAAGGTGTTGGCCTCCCATTCAAAGGTCCCGGGTTCGAATCCGGGTAGCGACAGAAAAATTTTCTTCTCTAAAATTGTCTCCTTTCAACTCCTTTCCTGCTTTCTAGCAATGTTCTGTTGTCTGCTTTCATTTCCACTTTCTGCCCCCACCCCCTCACCTCCTTTGCCCCCTCCTATGGGCTCCTGACTCTTTCTGCAGCCTTTCTACAGCTACTCCTTGGCTCCTCCTTACTGCTGTCTTTCTGCCACACCCCTGATCTTCTGGTAGGAAAGATCTACACCTAGCCTTCTTGGACAAGGGCGAAAAATCTCGGCGGGTCCGTGAGCAAGTTGCGCACGTTAAAGATCCCTTGGTGGTCGAAAATCAAAGAGTAGGCTTCGGCCGCCACCCGCGCAAAATTCAAAAATTTCCTACTAACTGAAAATATTAGGTCTGTGTGTTCCGCATGCTCATTTATGACCTTTATAATGCAGTTGTGAGCGCCGTAAAACACTTTACAAAAAGGCCACCTCTATTCTCACCCCGGGTAGCGCAGGCGAGCCTTTAGGCTATTCTCACCCGGTGTGCGTTAACGATTATATATATAGCCTAGGCCAACCAGTGTAGCGTTCACCCTGATTAACAGAATTCTACACTGTGATTAACAGAATTAGTAGAATTCTGTGCCGTGAACAAACGTTCCAGCGCTCTTGAGTTACTACTGGTTGCCTAAAAGCGTGCAATTTTGTCTGTGGGCAGTGGAGAGAGAGAGCGAGAGAGAGAGAGAGAGAGAGAGAGAGAGAGAGAGAGAGAGAGAGAGAGAGAGAGAGAGAGAGAGAGAGAGAGAGAGAGAGAGAGAGAGAGAGAGAGAGAGAGAGAGAGAGGGGAGTAGCGCAAGAACTTTCGGGCAAAACAAAATGGCGACCCATGTAGTTCGGCTTGATTCGAAAAGTTAAATAGCCGTAGCATCTATAGATGACTAAATTAATTTACTTTTGTGTTTTAACATCATTTTTTAACTTTGTTTTTGGTCAATTTGATCGTCCACACCGATAGACAGTATTCAAAAAGAGCCAGAGAGAGAGAGAGAGGGGGGAAAGGAGTAGATCTAGATCTTGCAAGAACTTCCGGGCAAAACAAAATGGCGACCTGCGTAGTTCGGCTCGATTCAAAAAGTGAAATAACCATAGCATCTTTGTAGACAAGAATCAAATTAAATTTAATTTATGCTATAACCTCATTTTTTCTTTGCTTTTGTCAATTTGACAATCAACACCGATAGACAGTATTCCGAAATTAGTGGAAAAACCGGGTGAGAATAGCCAACGCTGGCAAGTCTCACCCGGGGTGAGAGGTCGATCGTATTTTATTCGCACCCCAGGTGAGGACAGCCACTTCCTTACAAAAAACAATTAAAACCCTAACCCTGGCCCTGACTCTGACTAGTCTGACCCAACTCCTTACACTAAACCTCATTACCCCCTACACCCGGGATGAGAATAGTGCAGGCGAGTCTTTTGGCTATTCTCACCCGGTGCGCATTCACCGTTATAGCCTAGATCTAGGCCAACAAATTTTGCGTTCACCCTAAACCACAAAATTCTACACTGTGATAACAGAAAAATTGTAGAATTCTGTGCCGTGAACAAACGTTCCATTACAACTGTAGCCTACTAAAAGCGTACAATTTTGTCTGTGGGCAGTGGAGAGAGAGAGAGAGAGAAAGAGAAAGAGAGAGAGAGAGGAGTAGCGCGAGAACTTCCGGTCAAAACAAAATGGCGACCCGCGTAGTTCGGCTCGATTCGAAAGGTTAAATAGCCGTAGCATCTTTGTAGACAACCAAATTAATTTACTTTTGTGTTTTGACATCATTTTTTAACGTTGTTTTGGTCAATTTGATCGTCCACACCGGATAGTATTCAGAAAGAGACAGAGAGAGAGAGAGAGGGGAGGAGTAGATCTTGCGAGAACTTCCGGGCAAAACAAAATGGTGACCCGCGTAGTTCGGCTCGATTCGAACAGTGAAATAGCCATAGCATCTTTGAAGACGATCAAATTAGCTTACTTTTGTGCTATAACGTAATTTTTTTTGGGCTTTTATCAATTTGATCATCCACACCGATAGACAGTATTCCAAAATGAAGAAAAGCAGGTCTTGTTTCGCACCGGGTGAGAATTGCCTACGCTGGCAAGTCTCACCCGGGGTGAGAGGTAGAGTACATCCTGTGGTGCGATATACAGTAAGCGATCTTTTGTGGATATCTCTGGAAGTTACAGGTCGATCTTCATGATTTTTTCACCAGAAGTTAGAAAAACTTCCTCTCTATACGGTGTAGGGCATTACTGTAACAGCAGTTTAAAATTTCTATATGTTGTGGTGGTGTTTGTTTGGTAACGTGTGTCTGGTTTGGTGCGCAAGGTTTCTGGTTTGGTGCAACATATCGTCTTGTTGGGTGCGCAATAGTACCATGTTTACAGCTCTAGATCTAGATCTAGCTCTTTTCTGACACTTTTCATCTTTCTCTATCCTTGCTTTGTCTTCTTTTCCTTGCAAGAAGTTCCTGTACTGACCATAATGGAAGGCCAAGGTCAATTAGGCGTGTTCTTTTTGGGAGCTGTGCGCCCCCTGACAGGAGATTTCCTTACACCTTGTGTATGTGTTTTGATAATGGATAAAAAGAAAGGTGCTGTGGACACAAGAAGGGGAAAGAAGAAAACAAGTAGAATAAGACTATACCTAGACTAGTATTTTAGAAGGAAAAGGACAAAAAAGAAGAAGAAAAAGACGTGAAAAGAAGAAATTGAAAAAGAAAGGTGCTGTGGACACAAGGAAGTGAAAGAAGAAAACAAGAATTAGACTATACCTAGACTAGTATTCTTTAAGGAAAAGGGCAAAAAAGAAGAAGAAAAAGACATGAAAAGAAGAAATTGAACATTTTGGAGATTATATTTCCATATAATTAATTTTGACATGAATACATTAACTTATCATCTTCCAATGGCAATATAATGCATCCAAATGGAAGGAAAACAGTCTGTTTCAGTGCACAATGCAGGTCATAAAGAAATAACTTAATAAGTAAAACAAACAAAGGGCCTAGAAGCCACACTATCAATGCCAAATAGCAAAAAAGCCGATATTGCGCACGAAACGGACTGCCCAAATTTGGTCCGCTTCAGTGCGCAACCCTATCTAGCACGTTCCTGGGCATTAAGAAGCAGCCTGCGATAGTATTTATCGATTCTAGTATACATTCTACGATACATTAGAGCTAGATTAGCTAGATGTGCTAAATAATCGACTACTCAAGCGCTTAGTAAATTGATCGATACCGGTTACGAAAACCATTAATATGAAGGGGCAAAACTTTCCGACACCGTAGAATCACGTGTGTTGACAGGAACCTCCAAAACGAAAGTGAAATAAGCTGCATTCTGCGCATGCTCACAGAAAATGACCTCGTTTTCGCTGTTCTTATCCAAAACAAAGCAGGAGACCGGGGGTTGCGCACCAAAACAGTAGCGCGGTGATGCGGGCCTACTCTAGATCGTTTTTCTATTCTCACCCGGGATGAGAATAGCCACTACCTCTACTCTCTACTCTAACTCTGACCCTCTGTTCTGCTCTATTTCATATTGGTTGCTCGATACGGAAGTCCTCCCCTCTTTTAGTCCACTCTGCAGTAAAACAACGCCTAAGGGAATGAAGAGGGACATGACATGAGTAAACAACACACACACTCACGTCACAGACAGGTCCAGTGTCCACTGGATCTACTGGAGTTGGGAGTCCAGGCCAGGTGTGTGTAATGTCGCAGCACACCAGAATCAAAGTCCCAGAAAACACCGTCTGTCAGTTGGGAAAATCTTTAAGACGACAAGTTTTTAGTTTGATTTTCAAGGGTTTTATCCCTTGGCGCTGCTAAGCAGTCGAAAGATTCATTGACAATCGCATCACAGACTCTGCCTGAGCTGTAAACATTAGACAACCATTTTGTCTTGTTAAAGGTGTTTGCTCGTTTGTTGAGGGAGGAAGGAAAAGAGAGACGAGAATTCGAGTATAATACTTGTTCCTGCTCTGAAACATTTTTGTTTTGATTTGTTTTGTTTTTGTTTTTTTCATCATATTTTCTTAATATGTCTCGATACCCTCAGATAGATTATGATCGTTTACAGCCCATCGATACAGAAGATAAGAACAATGGTCAAAGATCTTCGAACCCCAAGAAATATCGAAATCTCTGAACAGAATCGATTCTAAGGTATTCCAAGGAGTTTATTAGCCCGCATTCCAATCCAACACCAACAGTAACAGCTGACCGGGGCAGTGGAGAAACAATGAGAGAGAGAGAGAGAGAGAGAGAGAGAGAGAGAGAGAGAGAGAGAGAGAGAGAGAGAGAGATTTCTCCTTTCCGTTTTCTACTTCTCTGCGACTGTTTCATGGCCAAGATCTAATTACATGTATAAGCCAACTTCTGTTTAATAAGGTGTTTTTTGTTTTGTGTGTTGTTGTTTTTTCTTTACGCCAGCCTGAGAGGGATACAACATCCTTGCAGACAGGACGAGATACAAAATGTACTCGGCAATCGAATTTGGGTCTTCTGCATGGCATGCAACAACTGTACAGTGAAAACACCGCTAAACCATAGACGCCGGTATACTCTGAGTGTCTCAGAGGGGTATATATATAGCCTAATCACTCCTGCTGCTGTCGCCACTTCACCACCACCACCACTGCGACAGTAGTAGTAGTAGTAGTAGTAGTAGTAGTAGTAGTAGTTATCACGTGCAAAAAAAAAGAACAAAACTAGATCTACATAAAAACAATGTTTAAAAATTGCCAAAAACTTTCAACATTTTCACTTTTCAAATATTTTGCATAATGATCAGGCTGAGGATGACGTGGAGTTTGAATAGATTGTCTTAAATGTAGAACAATTGGAATATCGAAATTGTTAAGGCGGTCACCGGGTGGATTACACCAGAGAGTTTACAGTAATACTATTACTGTAAACCCTCTCTGATTACACCCATTCACTGGTGAAAGGCTTAAATTAGGCTCACTGCCATAAAGAGAAGTTTCATTGGTAAAACTCGCCTGAAGTGACAGCCTTTTTCATACCTTCTCTCAGCCATTGGGGAAAATCATAACGCAACAGCTTATTTTCCACGTTATGGAATTTAAAGAATAACAATTAACACAAGTAAACCCCAGGAGGCTCTTGGGGACTAATGCTTATGGTGTTCGCCTCTCATTTCAATAGTTTCCGTGTTCGAAACCTGACAGCGACGGACATTTTTTTTCTCTAGAATTTTCTCCTCTCACCCAATTTTCTGTACTCTAACCACGTTCTGTCGTCTGCTTTTGTCTCCACTTTCTGCCCCCCCTCCTCCCAATTGCCCCATCTCCTGGGCTTCTGACTCTGTCGCACTTCTACTGCAACCACCCTTTGGCTCCTCTTACGTCTTACTGGCGTTTTTCAGCCATACCTCTGATCTTAGGGTAAGTAAGATCTAACATCAACACCTAGCCTTCTCGGAAAAGGGCGGAAAATCTCAGAGGTCTCGTGTGCAAATTGTGGACGTCAAAGATCCTTCGGTGATCCTAAAATTGATAAGAGTATGCTTCGGTCGTCATGACCCGCGCAAAACTCAAAATTCCTTCGAGACTCCCGCGCGCACATATTTTATGCAGTTGCGAGCGCCGTAAAGCACTTACCGAAACAAAAACAAATAGTAAAACCTACAAGCAAAAACTGTAATCAATTTTTGAAATTAAGTGGTTCGTATGCTTTGTGTCATATTTTACTTTAAAGAATCAATGAATATGCAATCTGTTCATTTCTTTGTTTCTCTGTTTCTCTGTCTCTCATGCTGTCTGTCTGTCTGTCTGTCTGTCTGTCTGTCTGTCTGTCTGTCTGTCTGTCTG